CGTTAGCTTGTCCTTTCGGGTTAGGTTGTGGTTGACCAGGGAAAAATCCAGGTGGGGCAGCAATAGATGCTTGTTGTTGAGCCACTTGTGAAATTTGAGTCTCAAGCATCTTATTATGGGTAGCCAAAGCGTCAACTTTACTAAATAATTGTTTAATCTGCTCATTAGTATGTAAATTTTGATTTAGAACATCTTTATTAGTTTGAGATTGGGAAGCAATGAAATGTTCTATCATGATTTCTAGATTAGACTTCCTAGGGGCATTGGATGTATTAGGTCCATTATTGGGGTGATTTGGGGCAACTTTTGGATAGCCAGGTGGTGTGGCAGGAGCTTGTCCAGGTGCGTACAACGCATTGTTGCTTTTATATGAAAAGTTTGGATGATTCTTCCAACCAGGATTATAGGTGTTGCTATTAGGGTTTCCCTGTATGTAATTCGCCTGTTCAGCTGGGACTCCTGTTAGAAGTGGGCATTCTGGAGCAGGATGTGATTGAAGACCACATAGATCGCAAGCTTGAGCTACTGCAGCCACGGTAGCCGCGGGAGCGGTAGTAAGATTTTCTAACTTTTGGGTAAGGGCTTCTACTTTAGCGTTGACTTGATCCAGACTATTCACTTCAATCATACCACCTTTTGTTTGAGTTTTTTCCATATTAGCTCTTTCGCTTCCCCATTGATAATGGTTTTGAGCCATGCTTTCAATAAGTTGATTTGCTTCGGTATACGGCTTATCCATCAATGCGCCACCAGTAGCAGCGTCTATAGTCATTCTTGTGTTGTACAAGAGACCGTTATAGAATGTATAAATGATCAGCCATTCTTCTAAACCATGATGAGGACATAGTCTGATCATGTCCTTATAGCGTTCCCACGCTTCAAAAAGTGATTCATTATCTTTTTGTCTGAAACCATTGATGTTGGCTCTGAGCATAGCAGTTTTGCTTGGTGGGAAATATCTAGCTAAAAAGACCTTTTTCAACTCATCCCATGTGGTGATTGAATTTGAAGGAAGAGATTGGAGCCATGCTCGAGCTCTGTCTCTTAAAGAAAAGGGAAATAGGCGCAATCGTATCGCCTCGGGGTTTACACCATTCGCTTTTACAGTGTCTGCGTACTGCACAAACACTGAAAGATGTAGGTTTGGGTCGTCAGTAGGAGATCCAGAAAATTGGTTCTGCTGAACGGCGGATAGAAGCGAAGGTTTCAGCTCGAAATCGTTTCGAGCGATAGCAGGAGCGACAATGCTGTTATGGGGCTCCGCTTGAGAAGGAACTGCGTAATCCTTAAGAGCACGGGGTGGATTTGGTACGTCATCCATCTTAGATTCTTCAATTAATTCAGGGATTGAGATATCAGGGAGCTTAGTCGGAGGAAGATTGTTGAGATCACTGTATTCTTGAACTCGGCGTCTTACTCTGAGATATCGCTTGATATCGTTGATTTGTAAATTCAAAGGCTCGCTTTGGGAGCGAGTATTTGGCATACAATAGAGGGAAAAATAAATAGTTGCCTTAGTCTATACAGTACTACTTTACGAGTGCACTAGTGACTAAATCAAAGTCCCCGGCAACAACGCCAAAAACTTGATTGTTTGCGATCGACCTAATGTGTCTAACGGTATCTTAACTACAAGTGCACAGCCTATCGCGGTAGTAATAAAAAGATGTCGAACCCACAGGGACTTTGTAATCACTCTAGTGCTATAAAAGTTTGCTAGTTTAGCTAAGGCGGATGTTGTCACGTTTGGTTTTTTAGAGGTTAAGGTAGGGGAAAAATAAATCGAATTAAGGGAATAATAATAATAAAACGGTCAATATGTAATATAGTGAATCTAAGTGGATCTAATCGAACATAAGCATATAAAGATGTTTAACTTAGATGGCTCTGTAGAAATTATCAATTTAAAAAGCCTCAACTCACACTTTCGTGGTCTTATCTTGGATTATACCCCTAAAGCTCTATGCCTGCTCTCGCTAGCCCATAAGTGTTTAGAAAATACTCTTTGAAAACTTAATAAAATCTAATTTGTTTTAAAGCGCTCTCGCTGTATTTAAATCAAATGCCTAACTTTAGTTTTCCGGTTAAAACCTCACACTTTCGTGGTCTCGATCCTAACCTATTCTACTTTTCTTACTCTCGTAACAAAAAGATTGATTTTTTAATTATAAAAAGTCACAGCCAGAAATTTAGTTAATTTAGATTTTAGCTTAGGCACAATTTAATCCATTTGGTTACTATTATCACATCCTGACTCTAGAAAATTAGCTAGTCATAGTACTCGAAACAGATATACAGAAAATATAATCGGGAAAGAATAAAACATTCATGATAAATAAATAAATAAATAAACGTAAACAAATTGTATTAAAATTAAATTAAATGCGATTAAAAAAATCTGAATAATAATATTATTCCTCAAGCCCCCTCTTCCGCAAGTCGACAAGATTGGAACTTCGTAATCGGAACTTGAAACAAATTCTGAGGCTAAAAATTAATTCCGACTACAATAGCAATTTCCTAATGTTGGAAATAGCTATTAATTGGTAAAAGGGAAAATAAAGCAAAAAAATAGCAATTATATGATACGATTTCTCGTTATCACTTACCTGGATTGAAGGTCGCTCAACCAAAAACTTTAACCGAGGACTTTGCTTAGTTTTGCTCGACGCCGGGCATCTTGCTTCTCTCTCCGCGCACCTCTTCCGGGCAACGTACAAAAATCTTTATTATCCAACTAAAAAAATCTTTGTGTTAGCTTCACCTTATATAACAATCCTCTTGGGCCTAACCTACACCCCCACTTTACTATTTCTAACCAATAGCATAAGTCCAACATTATTTCATATATTCCCTTAATTCCACATAATATAATTATTATTAATCAACTAATTAATTAATTAATAATAATCTAACAACTTATACCAATGATCCTCAATATTATACAACTTCACCATTATTCCAAAACAATCTAAATAAATAAATAATTAAATTAAATTACGAGCGTTACAACTTAGTAGTGCCGATCAACAGTAAAGCATCTCACATGGTGTGAACTATCCCCTTAAACTGCCTCAAAAACCACTACACAGGGCTACTCGCCGCTGTGAGTTAGCACTTATTCCATTCGTGTAATATACCTAATAGGATCTCAAAGTCTTCTTACTCTTGTAGAGGAACATGCATACCTGTACTTTTTGAATAATATAATAAATATTATTCTCAACGTACATTTAAATACAATTCTACTATCTAAAATTATTTGAACTTGTGCGAACTCAGATATATTTAACTAATTTATTAATAATGTTTATGCAATAGTTTAAAACTAAATAAATATTTTAAAAATTATACAATTATAAATTACAATGCACCGATATTCCATCGCAAAAGCTTATAAACACAACATTTTTAATAAGTTAAAAGTTAAGGTTAATGTAAAGGTTAAAATTGGATATTTTTAAAACTAAATTTAGAGTTTAATAGTATCTAAATATAAAATAGATTTACGATCTAATAAAATTATTATTATTATATTATGTTATATAATAATTTTTAATTTTTTTAGTAATTTAAGGAAACATAAATTCGTAATTAAATATATTTGATAAATTATAATTTAGGTTTTTATTTTATTTTGGTCAATTCACGAAATCAGTCACTCTATTTATTTTTTAAAGAATTTTGATCTTTCATATCTATTTTTCGTCCAAAAAATACTGATGTTTTGTTTATTTTATTTTATATGCGGCATACTTTCTGAACGAGAGAGAATATAAAGAGCATTTTCTAAAGAACAAAGAAGATGAACGAACAAGCCGAGAGAAAAAGAAGATGAAGATGATGATCCGAGAAGACGACATAAAGGAAGAGAACATCGTAAAAAATACAATGATAATTAATCTTTCTTATTCGATGTTAATAAAAATATCTCACATATCTAAAAAATAATAGTCTCTCCGTTTCGAAATGGTTGTCGATTAAAGTTTTTCCACACAAATTAAAAAATACAATGATGTTGTCATAAGACATTACACTTTTACAAAATTAACCATATTAATGTATTGAAAATAGTATAGAGAATAAAAAGTAAAAAGCAAAATTAGAAAATAATAATCATTACTATATTGAAAAGTGAAAATGACAATCATTTTAAAACAAAAATTATTTGTTAAAACAACACTCATTTTAAAACGGAGGAAATACATAATTGCGTTTTTTAATGAAAAATGGTCATGAGAGATCAAAACTTTAAAAAAAATTATAGTATAAAACAATTATATATATATATATTTTATATTTTATATAATAATAATTATGTGTACGTGTGTCGTTTAGTAGGGAAATACTTAGGTTTTAAGAGTTTACTTCTCATAAGATCTCAGATTTAAATCATCCTAAATACAAATTACTTGTTAAAAAATAATAACAATTATAAAAAATAGATGTTATAAAAGAAAATAAAAAATATATTGTATTTTATAGCATCCACAAATAATCAATCTTTATTCTTCAAATCACAATAATATTTTTAAATTAAAAATATGATACGGTTGAGTAACAAATTTAAATTGAATGATGGCATAAAATTATTTAATTTAATTTGATATTATAATAGTCGTAAAATTATAGCGCATATACTGGTAGTATATTTATTATTCATTTTTACTCTTTTATAGTGGTATTTTTTGGAGCAATCCGAAAGGTCGAAGATGAGTTTATAGGGCATTGCTTGGGTGGATTAGAAGCTAAAAGAAGGTAGGGATGAGAATTCCGATCACACTTGTTTAACTTCACCTTCCAAAATCACAAACCCTATTCGCTTCCTAACCCCGATTCAAGGTTTCTCACTTCATTTTCATCATTCAATTACACATTCAGTTTATCATTCATCTAAATTAATCTATTGCTTTTATTTTCAGCAATTAGGTTTTACAGTTTAACTCTTTCGTGATAATAAGAAGCAATTAGGTGTGTATGCTCAGTGTGCTGTGAAAACCATGCCTCGTAAAGTTAACTACGGAATCGATTACTACGACGATGACTATGAGGACTATGATGACTATGATTATGATGTTGAAGCTGAAAACTATGGTTAGTTTACCTTCTTTTTCATTTTTAACACAATTTTACTTACTTTATCTTAATTATTTCTTGTTTTAAGTTACTTTCTCTGAATTATATTGTTGCCCTTTATTTCATTTGGATGGAGAAGAGTCACATGGAGTAAGGAAATTATTTCTCATCTGAAATCTATGTTGATATCTTGGTAATGTTACTTATTTTTATTTTACAAACCTCATAGCATTTTTCTGTTGTGACAGGAGCAGGAGAAGGACCTGTTGCAAAGCAAGAGACCATTAGGCCTGGAGTTTGGCAATGCCCCATTTGCACCTATGACAACGATGAGAGTATGACTTCGTGTGATATTTGTGGCGTTGTACGTCATCCCTTGGTTTACAATGGACCTTCCAACAGTAACAAAACAGGTAATCTAATTATTGAAGAATCACTTAGTTTAGTGCTAGGTCTAAGGGGGAATAAAGTTCCATTTGTCTGTGTTAGGTAGCTAATAGCTATCAAGGGGAGGGGAGGGAACAGAAATCCCTCAACCTTGTTAATTTGTTTGAATGCCAAATGATGGATTAGTATCACAAATGTACTATTTTACTCTTTTCTTTTGAAAATTAATATTCCCTTTTATTTATTTATTTAATTATTTATTTTTTGAAATCTACAAAATTGTTAGTAATAATAAATAACTATATTTCCTCTTTGTTACATATATTTTTATATCGCCTTCTAGTATCAAGAAGTGAAATGGAGGTCTATGATCGGATATTATTTGGACTTTCTGTTGCTTTTACTGAGAATGTGTGAAAGTTCTGGTTCACCGTGCTACCCTCCATATCAGAGCCGGAGACTGTACTTGTGGCTGGCGGAGTTGCGGCCGTGTCATAGGAGATTATTCACCGGAATGTTCTCCCCCTCTGGAGTTGTTCTTGAATGAAGCCCCTGCCAGTCTGTAGTTGAAGTTATTGTCATGATACATCGCATAGTTGGCATCCTTGTTGTGCGTCTCGAGGTTGTCCTTCTGGTAGGTACATGAAGAGTATAGTTCAGTTGTGAGCTTGCCCCGCCCACTGCACACAATGGCAATGTTTTCGACAGCAAGAACAATGGCTTCGGAAATATGTTGCAAATCTCCTTTTCTTAAACCAAATCACTAATGCTTTGGGTGAACGGCTCTACAAATTGTCAAATTAGTAAATGGTGTTTTTTTTCCCTTTGAAATCCCGTAATTATTTAAAAGCAATGGAGGAGGGGGGCTTTGGAGAGATTTTGAAAATTTCAAAACCTTCCCCCTCTTTTTTAAAAATTCCCAAACTAGGGGAGGGCCTATTAAGCGAGATTGATAGTTAATTGGTCTTAGTTCTCGTGGTAGTTGTTGTCCTGGTTTTGACAACTTAGAGGGAATTCAACTTTAGCCAATTTTCAAAGGACTAGCTGAGATCTAAACATTAGCTCTCTGTATATCCCACATTGTATAGTGCTAGGTTTACAACAATGGATATGATATGCCTATAACCCGCTGAAAAATCTCTTTGATGCAGTTGAAGATATAAACAAAATTCCTGGAGCATCCAAGCTGGCCAGGTCTATTTTTCAATCATTACCACACCAGAGTCCCAAAGAGGTTGTATTATTTCCAACGCAAGGTGTTGGTTTTTGGACAGATAGCAGTAACATCTACAAGCTTGAGAATGTCCATGGAGAATTTCATGAAATTCATAAGACTTTTAATACTCAAAGCCATCCATCTTTAAATATAGGTCTTCACACGTTTTAATATGCATTTGTAGAATTAGTGTAGTTTCTATGATATTTGACTTTTATGCATTACTTCCTCCATCTCATATTAAATGTCTTTTAAGATTATGCAAACTAAGTAAATTATGGAGTGTACTAATTTCCATGATAAAGAGTGCTTCATTGACTAAAATATCATTCTTAATAAAGTAGTTTGGTGGTTTGTAAAACAATAAATAAGGGTATTAGTAGTGAGGTTATTATTAGTAGAAATAGGTAAGTAATACTTCATTGGTATTCTAAAATGATAAATATGACAAGCAAATATTCCAAACATGACACTTAGTATGAGACGGAAGGAGTATTTATTAGAATAAAATATCTTATTACTTGAAGTTTTGAGTATGTTTTAGTTCTTGGAACTCCTTGTAACATAAAAGCAAACCTTACTTAGCCTTTCATTTTTACTCAATAGTGATAAAATCTTTTTTATTGGGGTGCACAGATCCTTTCAAGTTTGACGTTCCATCTCCAGATGACGTGGTTCATACTGGCTTACATTCTTCAAAAGTGGGTTTGAAAGGTATCCCTCCCTCAACCTATCTGTCTTCAGGATGTAACTTTGGCACCCAAGCTTTAACGACAAAAGGAGAAAAATCAGTAGATTCCCCCCTCCCCCCCATATATAGTCTCTTCATGTTTTAGTTCCTTTTGGATATAAATGTTAATGCATCTTATATTTCTGTATGTTTTCAGACAAAGTTAAAAACGCTAAAGATTCACAGTTTTCACAAAACAGCAGAGAGAAGAGTGGACTTTCTGTAGAATTCAATACTGAAAGTGCAGACAACTCATCATCCTTAATGCAAACGAGCAAGCAGGGTAGTGTGGCTCAAAACAAGCTTTCCAAAAATGTAGAAATTGATATGAAAACATTTGGTGAAACTTTAAACAGTTTATCATTTTTGCCAAAGGACAAAGGAGATGATACGAAAAAAATAGATTCTTCAAAAAATGGTACAAATGGTATCCAATCAAGCAAAGAATACTTCAGTCGTTTGTCTGCACTGCCCAAAGTCGAAGAAAGTGATAAGCTTAGTTTGTCTTCTAACAATGATGGAAATTCTGAAAGTGCTTCCAGCAGTTTTAACCACACAGTTCTTAATGTAAAATCTGGAAATTTTGATAAAACTACTTCTAAGGCACCTCATCAACAAGTTTCTTACACGCCGGAAAAGTGGATGCTTCCTCAACATTCTGAAGATACATTGACTCAGTTGAATCTTGCAATTGTATGCCAGCGGTCTATTCTTTCATATATTCAAGGACTATATTTCAAGAATGAAATGTCTCATAGTACTTAATTTGTCAATTGCAGGTTGGTCATGTTGATTCTGGAAAATCAACACTATCCGGCAGGTTATTACACCTATTGGGACGAATTTCCAAGAAAGAAATGCACAAGAATGAAAAGGAGGCCAAGTTACTGGTAATTTCATTGTGGAGTAATTTTTTAGTGCTTGATGCTTTTGAGTTCACATGTCAAATGTCAATTTCTGCTCCCTGTTTACTTTTAATCAGGGCAAGGGATCCTTTGCTTATGCTTGGGCACTTGATGAAAGTTCTGAAGAAAGGGAACGGGGGATAACCATGACAGTGGCTGTGGCATATTTCGACACTAAGAAATATCACGTTGTTGTGCTCGACTCTCCTGGTCATAAAGACTTCATCCCAAACATGATTTCTGGCGCAACACAAGCTGATGCTGCAATTCTTGTTATAGATGCCTCACTTGGTGCATTTGAAGCTGGTATGGATGGTAGCAAAGGGCAAACAAAAGAGCATGCACAGCTTATTAGAAGTTTTGGTGTAGACCATGTTATAGTTGCAGTAAATAAGATGGATGCTGTGGCATACTCCAAAGACCGATTTGATTTTATAAGACATCAGCTGGGAATTTTTCTCCGCTCATGTGGGTTCAAAGATTCTTCTCTCTTGTGGATTCCCCTGAGTGCCATGGAAAATCAAAATCTGGTAGCATCCCCTTCTGATGCTCATTTCAAAAACTGGTATGTCACTGATTACTCTAGATGTGATCTTAATTCTTAACTTCCCTTGGTGGGCAACGGATAGTGTTAAGAAATTGTGACATAAGCAGCGTGTATAATTGTTCAAAAAAAAAACACCCAGGCACTTTTCCTCTCTGATATTTTACAATATATCAGAGAAGGAGTGGACAAAGAGGAAGGGGAGGGTGCTATTAATAGTATAATTTAAAAAAAACCATAATTTTGTACAATGGAATCCAAGATGAAATTTGATATTCTGTTCACAGGTTTCTGGGGCCCAAAAATATCATCTGGAACAGTTCTTGTAACCAATGCTTCTTCTGCCCATATTCTTTGGCAGGGGCATGTTTTCCCTACTTCTTTGCTCTTGAATAAAGAAAACATTATTTAGAAGTGAGCGGTGGGGTGAGGGGTTCTATTTACTCTTGTCATATACAGTGAGTGACTTGTATTTTACTTATGTAGTTGCAATCATCAAGAAACTGAGTTAGCAAGGAGCCTATGCAGCCATTTTGTTAGTTCCAGAAAGACTGAATTCACACCTTTTCATCTACATATAATTTATTTTGCTTTACTGCTTTATCATCCCACCTTGATAGAAAGAGCTATGCTTGCCCTGTAATGAATTTGTAAATCCCACCTCTCAGAAAGGCTGAACTTCCTCTATGAGACTATGACTGAAGCATAAAACAGTAATGTTCAAAGTTATCTCATAGACGGCATCTTATTTTCTGTAGATCCTACTTTTGACCGGTATTTTTTGCTTTAAAATCCCAATTGAGTAGAAATTAGAATTGGGCCATATTGATTTATTAGTATGCTACTGTCTTCCTCACCTAGATTTATGGCTGCCATATTTTAATTGCAGACAAGACCAATTTATCCCCTCCAACTGAAGCTACTTTGATCCTAAAACCTACTTAATATGTGCAGCACGAGTCCTAAACTTTCTGACATGTAGTAGTACATATTTATTCGGCTGTTTTATTCTGTCGAACTCTAACTGAAATTGTTACACCGAAATCATGTCGCTGACCATACTTTGTATCAAATTTCTCGTGGAGAAGTCAAATTTTAGCCAAATAAAAATTAGCATCTTGACATTGGTCTTGAAAATTGAGAAAATCAAACAGAGTGTCTACATTCATTTTATAGTGTGCTAAAAAATGATGGTTGTTTGATTGTGAAACAGGTATACTGGACCTTATCTGTTAGATGCAGTTGACTCACTACAACCTCCTACTAGAGAATTCGCTAAACCTCTGCTAATGCCAATATGTGATGTCATCAAATCAACTGCACAAGGACAGGTGTCTGCTTGTGGTAAACTGGAAGCAGGAGCTCTTCGAAGTGGAACAAAGGTATAAAATGGGTAGTGTTGTGACTGACTTACTATTATTAAAAAATCAAATGAAAGATTCAGATTAATAGTTCAAATTAAAAGTGTTTGTATCGGTCTGGAACCTAGTTTCTTCTGGTAGGAATTAATAACTTTCTGTTAAAGTTGGTCCCTCACTCCCAATACTTTTATTTGTGTTTTTTTTGTTTTTACTTTAACATGTTCATTTTAGTCAATTAATTTACAAATTACATCATCTCATCTATTGATTTTTTTTTCTGTTATCACGGTTTTCCATTCAAATCTTTATTTTATAAAATATTGGCATGACAGTCACTAATTTTCATGTAAGACTACCACGGTAATAGCCATATGGACTTCTCTATTTATTTTTATAAAATATCATGTCACAATTCAAATATTGAACAAAATATTTTGGATGAAGAATTACTATTATATTGACAATTTTGTATATAATTGGTAAACTGAGAGACTAAAATAAAATAAAAAATTTGGATAGGGACACAACCGAAAATATTAGGACAACAAATTTTATGAGGATGATAAAAAAAAAGTACTTGATGAACTCATTTTAGAGTTCTTTGCAAATGTGACCTTTTCCTGGCTACTCCTGACGGAGCTAGCCTATAATATATTGTTTTCCAGCTATTCCTTATTCTGAAGCATAAATGTTTGTTTGCTCGATCATTTATTTCTATCAATCCCACGTTCAATCACGGGTCTACCTCTTGGATCACTGAGTGCTTCTATTATATTTAATAGTTTTACGCATGATACTATTTCACCCACTTTGTCTGGTAACATCTGGTTCGTTTAACATAAGTGTCCGTCTTCTTGATTTTTAATGGATAACTTCACTAAATTTTTTGTTGTTATGCCCGACTTGGTGATTCATATTACGTGTGAGAAGTGCTACTTAGAGATTATTGTATGATTCTTGAATGAATTTGATGTAAAAAAATCCAACAGTCAATTGTCATGCCATTTTTATTTTGTTTCAGTTTTTCATTCTTTGGATAAAACTATTGATATTATTAGAGTTGGTATTTTGTTGGTATAGCCTGTGTATTTAACCTTGTTGTACTAGTTAATGTATAAATACAGGCAATTCTGTACGGAATGAAAGCACATGCTTAAATTCTTTTTAACATGACTTAAAATAAAACCGTTTCTCTCTTTAACTGTAAAATTTATTAATTATAGGTACTAGTTATGCCTTCAGATGTTGTTGGAACAGTACGCACATTGGAGCGTGACTCTAATGTTTGCTCTGTTGCAAGAGCTGGAGATAACGTAGCTGTAACGTTGCATGGTGTTGATGGAAGTCATGTATTGGCTGGAGGTGTATTATGCCATCCCGACTTTCCTGTTGCAGTTGCGAAGCATTTGGAGTTGAAATTGCTTGTCTTGGATGGTGCAAGTCCCATATTGGTTGGTGCTCAGGTGTGCATTATTACATTCCTTGCACCTTATTTTCTGATATTGTGTATTAGGAAAAATATCAATTTTCTTTTTTGTATATTGGCAGTTAGAGTTTCATATTCATCATGCAAAGGAACCTGCTAGAGTTTCAAGAATATTGTCAATACTTGATCCCAAGACTGGTAAGGTGACCAAAAAGTCCCCTCGCTGTCTCACATCAAAACAAAGTGCAGTAATTGAGGTGAATAACATATCTAAATTTGTTGCCTTGTTATTTCAACAAGAATACACGTAATATATTTTTGTCTACAATGCAACTGACTCAGCTTGAGTGACTTTTATTGTTTCTAATTTTTCAGGTGATTTTGAATGAGCCAGTCTGCGTGGTAGAGTTTTCTAGATGTAAAGCTCTTGGAAGAGTATCCCTTAGATCATTAGGAAGAACAATTGCTGTTGGACTTGTGACAAGAATAATCGAAGAACAAGATTAGATGATGTTATTTCTTCGAAAAGATCAGCCGATAATAACATTGAAGAGGTTCCCAGTATACCATGTATGTTGTTGTTCAAGTACACACATCTTTGTTTGCCATATAATTTATAGCTAGAATAGACAATGAGCGGCTATGTAATTCTTGTTGAGGTTTTCTGTTCAATATGTGAATTTTGTAAAGATGGTTAACTGTTGAGTTTTTTCTTTTTGAAATATTTTAACCAATAGATGTATCATAACTCATTAGAGAGCCCTGCTCTTCAATAGTCCAGACTTGTTGAACAGAGCAACTGGCTTCTTTTGAGATTACTTTTAAATGCTTCACTTGATGGGATTTAATTCCATCCTTCATTGGTTAGGATTATTCGCCAACGGCTTGGTTTATTTTTCTTTCGATTTTCTTTATTGTTGTTTTTTCTCTCTTTAATAAAGTTTTCTTGTAGTTTGTTATTTGGTGTTACTGGTATCAATCTAGTTGGAATGACTAATCTCTTATTATACCATTTACTTCTTTGCCTAAGTTGGAATGCTACTTTCTGATGTTGCATCGACAAACATGTCAGCCATTGACATTATATACTCGGCTTAGGGTGTCTCCTGATTTAAATCTTTAAAATCATCGCACAACCAAATCTTTTGAAGGAAATATTAATTAGATTGGTCAGATATTTAGAATGATTATCAAATATGACGTCCGCATGCTAGCCGAGATCTCTTCATATTTGCCTTTCTTTTCTTGGGGTCTTACTTTCTTAGGTTTCAAACTACATTTAAGATGAGTCCCAGGAGTCAAGATTTTCATTTATTAGACTTCCTTTTTCTCGAAATCATCAAATTGACATTTTTTTGAAAATCGAAGTGTCATTACACTTCTGTGAGTTTCTCATTGTTTGATTCTAACTCGGATTCTAACTCGATCCTATGATGTCCTCACATACCAAGTAATTTCCATTAGGCAAGGACATACATATAAATCAATATGATTATTTCATTAATATATCCTTAAGTGATTTAACTTGAGAGACATTTCTCTTTAATTTCAGCATCAATCAACCAATTGAATTTCACTCGTTTTCAAACATTGAATCAAACATCGAAATTAAAAGTGAATCCTAACTCCACAGTTATAATACTTAACGGTTAAGCTTAGATCAACACAATATAAAATAAATTAGTTGACTTAACAGTTAATCTTAGATCAACACAAAATAAAATAGACTAATTGATTGGTCTTTTACACTATTCTCAATATCCCTATAGCCATGCAACTATTCCTCAGTCTTAATAGGAGGATATCATGCACATAGATTCAAACATAGGAATATAGAAACAAAGGGTGAGAATAAATTCTATATATTACAAGGTATAATAATAACACAGGGTAACATAAATCACAACATGCAATAGTAGACAATCATACAACATGTATAGCAACATTTTGTACCATAACAATCTTCTGGAAGACCTTACCTTAGTGGGCAGCAGGTCAGTTGTTTGTCATAGAAGTTTGAAATATTAGCTGGGTTAGTTATTCTTTAAAGGCTTTCGACCTGAAAATCCGAGCTTCTATTCTTCTACATGGATTGTGTACTTAGGATATTATCTTTCACATGATGTATGACGCTGATATAAGTTTCTATCTTCCTTAGTTTTACGTAATAGCACATGAGTGTAGTGAAAGAAAAATGAAAATGAGGATAATAAACCCTATAAAGTCGAGTGAATTCATGGTGTATTCTAGAATTCCACTGAGATGTATAATCTCACCCCATCCATGTTGCTCTATTTTAGGTAACTCAAAGAAAGATAAAGATAAATGCAAGATGGCCTGAAGATTTGAAGACCCTAATGTTCATGTTTTTATTTCTGCTATGTGATATTATGTAGTATTTTGTATAGATATTTACTGTAATTCATGTACTATGTTTTGTATTTTGTATCGTACATTTACCGAGATGTCATCTAAACACTTTTGTATGCATTAAATACCAAACTAATGGTTTTGATTAATATAATTCTAGACATGTATTTAATTGCAGTGTTATAATTGTCGTTTCTCGATCCAACCATGAGACATCATTAATATATTATGATACAAATCTGTTAAATTTAATATTATGATACATCCGATATCTCTTTACTGTATATTTATATAACAAAATTTATTGTTGAATAAAAAATTATTATGATAGTGTGTGAAAAAGATATTCATCATCTTTAGAAGTATTAACTTTGATGAAGACAAAAGATTATCACAGAAGAGAGATTAAAGAAGAAAAAGATTATTATAGAAGAGAGATCAAAGAAGAAAAAGATTAGAATCAAGTATCAAAATTGTTAAGTATGGATGTCAAGAAATTGATCATCTTTTAAGGTATTAGTAACGATTGGTTTAAGAATATATACACTAGGTGTTCAAGTCTCTCTTCATCTAAATATTTTTTAAGTATCTTAAACTATTTGTGAATTTTTACATTCATGACGCTTTTAAAAAAAAAAAGAAAAAGTGATTTTTGTGTAGCTACACTCAATTGTATGGAATATACCATCAATTATATTGAACTTTTTGTAATGACTTTTGAAAGTGCTTAAAATGCTGGTGTCAATTGATTGGATTCTTCACCACAATCGACTGTATAGATCTCTCTTTGTCTAGAAAATATTCCCCACAATCGAATGTACCCAGACTATAATCGATTGCACCGTTATAAATTTTCAGATTTACTAAATGTTAGACTTAATACAATCAATTGTATGGAACACCTAAATTGATTGGACTCTCATTATTTTTGAAAAATCGTAAACAACATATATCTCTTCAATTGCAATTTTTCATGGAAGTGGTTTATAACAATGCATCACTTCCTAAAGGTATCATGGTACTATAAAACATCATTTTATCAGATTTTTTAAATTACCTCTTTGCTGAAAAATTATTGTGTTCATATCATTTTTACATAAACTTTTTTTACTGCATAAATGTCATATATAAGACAAAAGTTTCTTTTAACATATTGAGCATTTAAAGTATATTCATTGATTAAATTGTCACAGGAAAAAGAAGAATATATTTTAGGATATTGGAATTCATACAGATTATCAGTAAATAATTTTATCGATTAGTTGCAATTTATTTCATTAAGTGTGTGGTGATTTTGTATGTAAGGAAAGTGGTTGTACATTTTACAAGTATTTGTAAATAGGAAGTTGTTGTTATTTCTATTCGTTGAAAAAATTCCTTTGAACCGGGGTGCTTCAAAGCCCACATAGTTGTTTGTGTATTTGTAAAATCAAGGAAACGATGTGCTTCTTTGTTGTTGTTGTTAAAAGATTGTAGGAGAAGTCTTAGTGTGCGACTTGTATGAATATCTAACAATAAGTGAAAATCTCTCACGAGATGTGATGGTATTATATGTTTCCTTGGTTTCTAAGGGGAACTAGAAAACCAGAAAATCTAATTCACCCCTCTTAGATTTCACTCCATTATCATATATAGATTATATCTACAAAATTTAACTTCTATTCAAAATCATTTGATATGTTAAAGAGATTGATAAAAATTAACCGGTTCGATGAAGTTTTGTAAGATATTAATCTTTATACATCTGATTGACTTGACAAATGATTTCCGATTGATGTTAAAGTTTATATATATGATCTATATGATAATAGCTTTCGATCCAATAGTGAATATTTTATACAGATATGCGGTAAATATTAGATTTAATCTATATTTTAGGAATATATTTTGGATATTAATCTATATTTTAGGAATATCTTTTTAGAAGATATTATTATATCTTTTTATATCTTTGTTAGAGGATATTTATGATTTTATTTTGTGTATAAATAACCTAGTGAGGTAGCTCAATGTAATTCATTGTAAATCACTATTCCTTATTTTGTAGCCCTCATTTAATATATTCTTTTTGCCTTTCATCTCTTCTTTGTGCACCAATAATTGGTATCAGAGCTCCGGTTCGAAATCCACGGGGGAAAACATGAAACACGAGAGAATAATGAGGTGCTGTGTGATAATCGTTGTTTCTGATTCTGGGGATTTGGGAAACACCGCTTTATTGAGTTTCTGCGTAAATTGCACAAAGTAGAAGATGAACAGAAACAACGGTGATGTCCATTCCAAACTTCCAATATTTGATGGAAAAACTAGAATCGTTGGAAGATCCAGATGCGCCTGTTATTTGGTTCTCAAGATGTGTTAGATCTTGTCACCGATGGCTATGATCTGTTAGAAGCAGACACAGCAGAAACATAAAAGATAACACATAAGGCGCTAAGGAAGAAAGATCAGAAGGCGTTGTTCTATATCCATCAATGTGTGGATGCAAATGTGTTTGAGAAGATTGCTGATTCTGAACAACAAAGGCTGCGTGAGACACATTGGTTAAATGTTATAGTGATGACTGTAGCGGTAGAAATATTTAAGACTAAACCATGGGATTGACTAGACTTGTACAAATCAAAATAGAAATCGCCACCGCACTTTATTGTTTCCAAAGGAATGGGAAAATAGCGAATAACCCAAAAAAAGGAGAAAGATTCAAGGTAAGGGGGTTGGTTATGCAAAGGGAAGGTATTAGCACCCTAAACATCTACGGTACTCCACATGAACCTCTTTGTAAAACCGGTATATTTTGGCTATAAAAATGTTGTATAAAAATGGATGGTGGAGGTGAGAAAAGAAATATATTTTTATAGTTTTTGCACCCGCCGCGGTTGCGAACCTTTAGTGCATACGTACCACCTTCCGTGCAATAAGGGATCATGATACACGTAGTTTCTCTTTTAAAAATTTTAAAACACAAATGTGTTGGTTAATTTTATGAGATAAAACATCATCGTCATTGTCCGTGTGGAAAACATACCTACTACCCACAATCATGAGAAATGAGAATTTGCACCATCTAAAAGTGGAGGATATGGGTTGGATGTTAAAATCAACAATGCCTCACTCAACACCCAAGTGGAAAATATCCC